CCTCCCGATTTCTGTATGGTTATTTTTATAGAATTCTTGAAATATCGATGTTAGAAACCTCGATATCGATGTTTTCTAACATCGATATTCTTCCAAGGTGTCTCGATCTCGATGTTGTGGAAGATCGATATCGACGTTGAAGAAGGTCGATATCTGGACTGCTCAGATCTCGAGGTATGAAACATCGATGTCGATGTTATGGAACATCTAGATCGGAAAATCTGAAAGTCTTATCTCGAGGTGACCAGAAACGTCGATATCGATGTTGAGGAACATCGATATCGATGTTTGTAAACGTCGATATCGATATTGAGGAACATCGATATCGATGTTTGTAAACGTCGATATTGATATTATCAACATCGAGATTCTCCTTTTTCGCTTCGAAGTTCGTTTCTCGCCCGTGACAAGTCTATGACCTTCCTTACTCGTCCGTGATCGTCCACTTGGTCCAATTAAGCTCCAAAAACATTGTTTTAGCTCCGTTTTCGTCCAATTACGTGAATATTCCTGAAATTATATTAATTAACTTCATGAATTTCACTTGTAGATACTATATTGTCATTAAGGGAAAAGAGAGGTGAAATGCAATTAAAACCGTAGGAAAATAACTTAAAAAAACCGATCATCATATACACACATAGATATACATATACACAAATATATATACACATATATATATACATACATATAAACACATAAACATAAATACATCGTTATATACATACATATACATATACATAATATCACATATACATGCACACAAATATACATACATATACACAAATTTAAAATCAAATATAAAATAGGAAAAAATAATTATATACGTATATACATACATATGTCATAGACAAATATAAATACATATATACATATGTTCACATGTTTTTTATTAAATGTGTCATCTGTCGTTTTAAAACCTATTTTCATAAGAAAAAATTAGTGATATTTTAATAATATATAGATACATATATATATACACACAAATTTAAAATCAAATATATAATATAAATGATAAAAAAGACACACGCATATGTATATACATACATACGTATATATACACATATAAATTAAAAATTGAATATAAAATATAAATGATAAAAAAATATAAACACCCATATATACGGGAATATATTACAAACACCCTTATTATATATACACATATAAATTAAAAATTGAATATAAAATATAAATGATAAAAAATATAAACACCCATACATATGAGAATATATTACAAATACCCTTATTATGTTATTTCTACTTCACTAGGTACCCTTGTAATTCTTTTTTAAAAAAAAAACTTCAGCATTCAAAAGACACAAATATCTTGTAAATTAAATGTAGAGGCCAAACTACCCTTATATTTGAATTAAAAAATAGAAAAAGAAAAGGTATTTTTCTATTTGTCGAAAAAGAAACATCGTTATCCTCTCCTCTCTCATAACTCTTCTCTCACTACAATTTCTCAAAACTCATCTCTTTCTCTTGCGATTTCAAAAACGCCTTTCTCTTGCGATTTCTCTCTCTGTTACAATTTCGATTGCGATTTCTCTAGCAATCATCTTTGCACTCATCTTCAAATTTGTCTTCGCAATCACATTCATCTTAGAGAGAGAATGAACTGCAAGAATAAACTGCAGGTCTTTTGCTAATGACAGATTTTTGTCTTAGTCTTCTTCGTCATCTTCTTCTTCTTCGTCATCTTCGTCTTCCATCATTGTTAGTGTAAGTTATGGGTTTGAGATTTCGAAATAGAAAATTAGGGTTTGAGATTTCGAAATAGATTTGCAAGTATCATGAGTTCGAAAGTTAGAGTTTCTGTCAAGTAACGATTGATAAGTGTTATGGTTCACATTAAGTCACATTGGTTAGTTTGTATCATATTAGTCATATTTAATCATATTTAGTCATTTAGGTTAATTAGATCATACAGATAAGATGCGATCATTTTGATAACAATGATCCTTATTAGTCAGTCATATAAGTTACAAGGTCATATATTCATCTAGGTCATATAGGTCACACGAATCACATGAGTCACAGGTCACATGTGTCACAGGTCATATGAGTGATATGGGTCACAGGTCACATGGGTCACATAAGTCTATGGGTCACAGGATCATATTGGTCTCATGTCCACACGGTCAAATATCTCATATGAGGTCTTTTATTTAATAGCATATGGAGGAGGCATTATGTGAGTTTCGATCGAGTATATTGAGGGCCTGGGCAAAATGCTAACGATTGTGATTGCATTATGTTTTCAGCAAAATACGTCGAAACATTACTCGTCGATAAAAAAAACACATTGTGCAAGCTGATAAGCGATGAGAATATACCAAAGATCTCTGAGTACGTTGCAGTTGTTGCCTTATGAGTGCATCGAGAGCTTGGATGTATGGACAAGATTGGATTTTGTTAATCAAACACGGTCTTAAATGGACATTCTCTTCTGTAATAGACAAGATTGGATTTGAATCACAGGATGTGAAGTTAAAGGGTTAAGTTATTTTTTACAAATAGTATTATATTTTGTTATTGTGAACTCATTAGTATTATATTTTGTTATTGTGAACTGGTTATTTAAATTATTTTCTAAATGTATGAATTATTTATTTAAATTAATTATTAATCTTATGATTTTTATTTGCTTTATTTTATTATTTTATTATCAGTGAGTCACGAGTCAGAACGGTCACATGAGTCATACAGTGAAAAAATATGTTCAAACTTTATTATTTTTATTTTGGAGAGAAATAAAAAAATGTGGTCATTTTATTGATTTTGGCGGGAAAATGAAACTGAGTTTCAAAATACGGCGGAAAAATAAAAAATAGGTCTAAAATGTTATTCTCGAAGTGGATCCCATATGTTCCCCATATCTTTGATTTTTTTGCTGATGGGTCCCACATGTTCCAAGAAATGAGTCACGTGGGTCACATGGGACATAATGTTTGAATTTATCGAATTAGTGATTTTGAATGGATATACAATAGTTAATCATGTATTTTAACATCAATAACAACTTTAAAATCATTGTCATTTCAATTTTCATATCTAAATCAATCATGGAAAATGTACTTCATAAGTGATACTATAGTGTTTTATGAACACTTTGGAACAAATTGGACTAATGTTTATACAAACCATAATTAACTTCATGAATTTCACTTGTAGATACTATATTGTCATTATACAACACTATATAAACTACATTAAAACTTCAAAACTCAGATTTGACACTCTTTTTTTTTATTGACATTGGATCACAAGTCACAACGGTCACATGAGTCACACTGTAAAAATATTTCTGGGTCACATGGATCACATGAGAGTCACATGGATCACATGTTTAACTCATATGACCAAGTAATTTGTATGTATTCTGATTTTATTATATAATGCAAGCTTATTAAACACAATGTACTAATGCAAAGAAATCATATTCATGGAAAATATACTTTATAAGTGATACAACAATGAAATCATACAAACAAATTATTTTATAAATATATCCGAAAACGACAATGAAATCATACAAAAAGTTATTTTACAATGAAACTGGTTTTGTTTAGGCCTATCGATTCCTCGTTTTTTTCACTATCGAAGGGAATACCACGATATTTGTAATATTTCGGTCGTCAATATTCCAATCACAATAATCAGAAACCGGTCTGATATAATATTGTCTCTCCCAATCTTATGGACTACTCCAACCGCTCTCCAAGTGTTTCCTACCCAATTCATCTCTAACCTCAAACTCGTCTACAAAATTGTTGAGTACAGTAACATCATATGCGCATACTATCTTGTACCACTCATGTAGCACTTTATCAATATACTCCACAACTTTAGAAAACCTGCACAACAAGATATGCATATTAGACTTGGGTTACAGATCACACGGGTCACATGGATCATAGGTCACATGGGTCACAGATCACACGGGTCACATGGATCATAGGTTACAAAGAACATCATATCTGGTTTCAAATCACAAAGAACACGATTCTATGTGAATTCCCATTGATTTTCATGATTTTTGAAGTTGTTTCGCACATTGTCGAAGAAAGAGCAAGCAAATCGGAGGAGAAACGAAACAAATCGGAAGAAAGAGAGTGAGAGCAAATCTGAAGGGAGAACAAACAAATGAAGGAGAGAGAAGTAAATCAGAGGAGAGAGAGGGCAAATCTGAAGAGAAACGAAACAAATCGGAGGAGAAATGAAACAAATCGGATGAGAAAGAGAGCAAAATGGAGGAGAGCGAGTGAAAACCAGAGAAGAGAGAAAATGGGGAGAACAAATCGGAGGAGAGAGAAGCATAGTTTCGGAAGAGAGATAAAATTGAATATTTTTTATTAAATTTAATTTAATTTTATATTTAATAATAGAAGGGTAAAATAGATATTATATATTTAGGAGTGTATGTTTGGAGTGAGATTTTTTTTTTGAGAGAAGAGTAGTCATTGAAGTCCATATAGCATTTTAAGGGCATTTTAGATAAAATCTCTGAATACATATATATATATATATATATGTTTATATATTTTTTTATTAAATGTGTAACTCGTTTTTTTAAAACCTAATTTTCATGATCCAAAATTAGTGATAGTTTAATAATATATGTATATACATATATCCATATATATACACAAAAATTAAAATCAAATATAAAATATGAATGATTAAAAATAAAAACGATTTTATCCAAGCGTGGGGAGAGGCATTCACCTGGACTTCCTCTGGGAGATGTAGTCGGGTCAAAGACCCGGTGAACTTCCGCATTATAAAAAAAAAACGATTTTATCTTGAAAGTGCATATATATATATATAAAAACACATTGTGCAAGCTGTATTATAAAAAAAAAAAGATTTTATCTTGAAAGTGCATATATATATATATATATATATATATATATATATAATGCGTCGGTTTAGGAAGTTTCCTTTCTAATCAAAAGTTTCGGATTTTGCTTTCGCAAGGGAAAACTAGTTAAAGGGAAATAGAATTTGAGTCAAATACAAACACCTTTGCGTCATCATAAAAAAAGTCTCAAATCGTGGGCAGGGCGATTTGGCCTTTGTCAAATCGTCAGCCTTCGTTCTCTTTCGCTCCCCGACACAATCTGTTGGTTTAGTTGAACAACTGTTCGATTCCTCAATTAAAAAAGTTTCTGGGTATTGTCTTTTCCTTTGAAGAATCTTGAAAAAAGTTCCAGATCTATTATATACATATACACATTGGAATCGCACTGTTGCAATTACAAAATTCTAGGGTTTTGAATTTGGGTTCTCTTTCTGGGCTTCTATCGTTGAGCTGGATAGTTATTCTGTTGAAAATGGAGATTTGTAACGGCGGGATCCAAAATGGCTGCCTTTTGGCTTCCTCTCCCAAGCGTGAGAAGCTCATTATCGACACAGACCCAGGGATCGGTGAGTGTTCTTCCTCTGCTGAGGCATTCGGATTCTCTCTGATTCTGATTCTGATTCTGATTCTGATTTGATCTTAGGAATTCGGATTAGTTTAATTGATTATTTTATAGAAGCTGAATGGGGAAGAAAAGACGCTGATGTTTTAGATTCTTGCCTTCGAACTTGTTTAATGATCCCGGGAATATGATAGAGCTTCCCTGTGAAAAGAGGATCTAAAACTTTATATAAAGTTTCAACTTTCTTTTTTTCAGGTTGATTCGAGCAAAACCCTTGAATTTTACAGTAATGGGTATTTGATGATCCACTGATTATAAGCTAATTTGATAAAAATTTGAATCTTTTAAGCTTTGATTTTTGTTTGTTTCAATAGAAAGGCTCTGTGTCATTATATTGTCTACTTGGCTGAGAACAAAGGGGATCAAATTTGAAAAAGCTTGCAACTTATTCCAACTTTTTTCAGTTTCATTTGAGCAAAACGTTGAATTTAGAATATATGGGTTTTTCATAATCAGTTGATTATAAGCTAATCGGTTAAAAAGCTTGCATCTCAAAGCATCTCTTTAGATTTACAGTTCCATGTTGGGTTTTTTCATATGAGTTTTGAGTATGGTGCTTTTTTAAACGAGAAACAGTAGGGTTTGATCCATTATATTCTGTTTTGTACAAAGATAGTGTTAGACTTTGATGATGAATATGGAACCAAGATCTTATGAACATGAAAAAAAAAAGGGGTTTTACATTTGATATGTGTGGTTGTTATGGAAAAAAAAAAGCAGATGATAGCATGGCGATTTTGATGGCTTTTCAAACACCGGTGCTCGAGGTGTTAGGGCTCACCACCATATTTGGTAATGTTTCAACACAAGATGCCACTCGTAATGCCTTACTCCTGGTACATAGAAATCACCCGTCCGGTCTGAATTCGCGTAATATTTTCTTCTTTTTTTTTTCCAAACGTGGAACATATCTGTGATCAAATTCATGTTTTTTGGTTGTGCGAAAGAATAGTGTGAGATTGCAGGTTTTCCTGAGGTTCCTGTTGCAGAAGGAAGTTCTGGACCCTTAAAGGTACCATCTTTTTCTCACTCGTTGTAAGGATATTTTTGGTTAGAGAAGTAAGTTTACCATATCTATTAGCTTTGTACCTTTTGCTTTCGGTTTTAGACTTTTAGTGTTTGAAGCAATGGAATTGTAATGTTTTTTGAGTAGGGTGGAATTCCCCGTGTTGCGGACTTTGTGCACGGTTCAAACGGACTAGGAAACATATCTCTTCCTCTTCCGAGTGCAAAGAAATGTGAGAAAAGCGCATCCGAGTTTCTAGTTGAGAAGGTTTCTGAATATCCCGGTGAGGTTACCGTTCTTGCCCTCGGACCATTGACCAACTTAGCTTTGGTGAGAATTCATGTACCCTTTTCTTCCTAAACCCGCGATTTTCTTTTCCATTTTCCTCATTTGAAATCTTACGGCTATGTTTTTTTTTTTGTGTTAGGCCATCAAACGAGATGGTTCCTTTGCGAGCAAAGTGAAGAAAATTGTCATTCTCGGTGGAGCCTTCTTTGCTTTGGGGAACGTTAATCCTGCAGCCGAGGCAAATGTACTCTCTATATCTTCTCTATCTCCCCTTTAACGGATTTTGGTATAAAACCCATAAAAGAGAGTCTAATGAAGTTTCAAATAGCTAATAACATTGTAAATGATTCGTTAATTTGTTGTTCGCAGATATATGGTGACCCGGAAGCAGCGGATATCGTGTTCACCTCAGGGGCGGATATCACTGTTGTTGGGATAAACATCACTACACAAGTCAAACTAACAGGTTAAAGCTTCTCATATCCTTAAGCCAACCACTTCTTCTTTACGTTTTCTCCTCTCCTGATTACGTGAATGGCTCTCTGAAAACACACTCGGGATTGAATTTCAGATGATGATCTTCTGAAACTGAGACACTCGAAGGGGAAACACGCCCAGTTATTAAGCGACATGTGTAAATTCTACCGAGACTGGCATGTTAAATCCGATGGTATCTATGGTAAGCAAGAACGACCTGAGAAACTATTCGTACATTCGGATTAGATATCCTCCATTTTTGTTGCTAAAGATGAAACCTTTAAGGGGAATTATCATGAACAGAGTTTGATGATGATTCTGGTTTATTTTGGTTTTTCAGGAATATTCCTCCATGACCCAGTAAGCTTTGTGGCAGTGGTAAGGCCGGATCTCTTCACGTACAAGAAAGGCGTTGTTCGGGTGGAGACGCAGGGAATTTGCGTCGGCCATACCCTCATGGATCAAGGCCTCAAGAAGTAAACTTTCTTTTACACAAATTCGATTTGTTTCTTTCGTTTTCTTTTTTTCGGGTTTTTTTACAAAATCGTGAACCGGTTTTACGTGGCAAAAAATTTGCAGCTGGGTCGGAACAAACCCGTGGACCGGTTATTCCCCGATATCGGTCGCTTGGACGGTGAATGTGGATGAAATATTGAAATACATCAAAGAAGTTCTGATGAAGGCATGAAGAGGATGAATGGAGGATGAAGAATTTCGGGCTTTATTCCTTTTGTCACATGAGAATGTGAAGATGAAAATTACGCGAAATCATTCGATCGATCATTTTATCTTTCTCCGGTTATCTCCGGTTGTCCACGGGAAGATAAACGGCTTGGAGTTGGAACTGTACAAAATGTTTATTTGGAAAAGAAAAATGAAAAACTATGGCTTTTATTATGTTTATTTCGTTTTTTCAGGTACAAAAATTAAAATTCTCTAAATTTTCTACACTATATCCCTACTTCTAAGCCAGAGATATGATAGCTTCTTTTTTTTCTTTTTTGGTAACGGCGTTATATAAATGCATATATTTTATATTCTTCAGTAAGAGATTGAATTCAATAATATGATAGAAAGATTTTTGGGGACTATCTTGGTTCCTGAGTAAATGAACTGAAAAACTGTATGTCACAACAAGTGATTTTGTATTATATTATGTTTTCTAGGTTAACACAATTAAAATTAAATAGCAAGCTCCATATATTTCATTTTTTCATTTTAAAAATAGTTAAAATTGTATTTTTAAATTTTACATTACCCACATTGGTAATACTAAAAGTGTTTCCAATAATTCTTTTTATCTATTCTCATTGATAATGTTAAACAATTAGCACAACAATAGCATCAATATTAAAAAAAAATAAAGATACGACCACGTTACTTACAAGATAAATTAGTAGCTACACACTACATTAATAAACTTTGGGTCGCCGTTGATTAAAAGATAAAAACCAACATGTTCGAGGTTTGTTCGTAGACCGTGGCCTTGAATGGATGAAGTTTTTGTTTTGAATTTTTGGATTTAGTCTTTGGTTTTTAGATTTTAGATTTTAGATTTTACTTTTTAGTTCTGGTTTTTTGTTTTAGTTTTTAATTGATTTTTTTCTATAAAATAGTTTTTCTGATTTTTAGAAAAACCAAATTAAAAAAAATTAATTGCCAATTTTTTTTAATTTTTAAAATCTAAAAATCTGAAAACTCTTTCCATTCAATACCCTAATTTTTTATTCACATTATATATTTCAACCGTCTATTCCATCACAACCATCGATTTATCTAACAAATATATCAGTCATCGATTTATGTTACATGATCTCAACCGTCAATTAACAAGATTTAATTTCAACCGGTAATTCTTGAAATTCGATAGATATTATCCATCCATAAAATCGATCTCAGTCGTTGAATAGTAAAAAAACTATTTGAACCATCGATTGACAAGATAAATCTCAACCGTCAATTCTAATATTTAATTTCAACTGTCAATGATCTAAAACCATCTCAATATTATAATATTTTATCTCGACTATCGATATTGGTAGATTTAACCGGAGATTTTACAAAAATACCCTTAATTTACTATTAGACTTTTATGTATATCTTGTAAATTAAAAAATATAAATATTATATTTATTCTAATAATTATATTATATTATATTATTTTAATCATTATTTTTAATTCATTTTCATAAACAAATTAATATTCCTTTTATTTGTTTTATAGTTTGTTTTAATACGAATATCAATCTTCATAATAATTAGAAAAAAAATACTGGAAAATTCCTGAACTTGTAATTTGGTGTAATATTAATTCCTAAACTTGTAGGTGCGCCTATTTATTCCTGAACTTACATTTTGAAACACAGTAATTCTTAAACTTGGTTAACAGTCCTATAATCATCCATTCCACTAATTGGGTCAAATAATGAGTTGACCAGTCCTAGATGGTGCATGATATGTCGAGACAAATCAGCAAGGGGTGCCATGTAAACAGAATCAGTCTATTAAACCTGTTTCCGATTCATAGATAAATCGAGTTTAATCGAACCGGTTCATAAATAAATCGACTTTAGAAAATTTAGACTGGTCAATTCATTATTTTGGTCAATTAGATGTATGGACGATTATGGAACTGTTAAGCAAATTTAGAAATTATTATATTTAAAAATGCAAGTTCGGGAATAAATAGGCGCATGTACAAGTTTAGAAATTAATATTACACCAAATTACAAGTTCAGAAATTTTCATATATTTTTCCCTAATAATTATCTTTTATTGATCTTATTCTAAATTATTCTGTTTTTTTTCCTTTTTCCATAATATATTGATTTATTTCTTTAATTACTTTATTAAATTTTTTATTTTCTATCATTTTCATTTATTTGTCATAAGTTAGTTTTAAAAGTTTTTTGTCGTGATTCTTGTAATTCGATATTCATGAGATATATTTTATCCATCTTTGTTATGTAGTGTTGTTAAAACGGGGCATTATCAAAAATACCCTTAAAATGCTACTTCTACTTCAAGACATACCCTGGTCACATGTGACCAATGTGACCGAAATATAGTATGGTCACATTTTGATTTTTATCGATTATAACGTTAAATTCATGGTGATCACACTAATTCATTATGTTCATATCTTGTATATCTTACTAATCATTTGATTAAAACATCATAAATTTAACGTTATGAACAATGAAATCAATATGTGACCACACTATATTTCGGTCACATTAGTCACATGGTCACAAGGGTATGTCTTGAAGTAGAAATAGCATTTTAAGGGTATTTTTGATATAATGCCTGACAAAACTAACATCTAATACCTAATACCAGAGATATATGTATTTTGACTTATATATCAGAGGTTTCAATATATCTTCTCATTTCTCTTACTACGCAAAGTATTTTTCCACACTATATTTCGGTCACATTAGTCACATGGTCACAAGGGTATGTCTTGAAGTAGAAATAGCATTTTAAGGGTATTTTTGATATAATGCCTGACAAAACTAACATCTAATACCTAATACCAGAGATATATGTATTTTGACTTATATATCAGAGGTTTCAATATATCTTCTCATTTCTCTTACTACGCAAAGTATTTTTTTTTTTTTTTTTGATAAGGGTTGTTGTATTACTATGAAATTTAAGTACATAGTGGAGAATGTTTAAGATTTACAAAAAAGTCAGACATCCAGCAAGTGGAAAGGTGTATCACCTAGTGAAGGCTTATCCCTCACACGTGGCTCCTGAAATCAGTGGAGAACCATAACTGAAGGCTACGGCTGGCTAGTTCTGGAGCCGCTTGGCGGAGTGCTGCAATGCGCATTCTAAATGTTCGTTCAATTTCCCGAATTAGATAGTGGGTATCCTGAAAGGTTTGCTTATGCAACCTGTGATTCCTTTCTTTCCAAAGAAGGTAAGTGGATATCTGCCAAATCGTAACGGTCGTCCATCGTCTGAACCTGCATCCTATAGAGCCCAGAAGAAGCTGTAGAACAGCCTGCCATGGAGAGTGCAAAGAAACCGGGATTAGTCTACCCAAGCTACCAAGGATGACCTCATTAGAGTAAGGGCATTTGAAGAAAATGTGGTCCCTGTTTTCCTCTGAATCCTGACAAAGTAGACAGCTAGAGTTGACAGTTAATCCCCATGATCTCAGTCTGTCTCTGGTAGGACATCGGTTTAAGTTTATGATCCAGCAGTTGAATGCAAACTTGGGTATATGTTGCTTGTGCCATATCAGTTTCGAGCATGGATCAAGCTGCAAATTTTCATTGACACATTTCCAAACCTTCTTTGAAGAGTAATCGGAGGATACCTTGCCTAAGGTTTGCCAAACAACCTCATCAGGGTTATGAGTGAGACTGATCGGTGCCAAGTGGAGTGCTAGCTTGAGGGCCGAATCTGATCTCGGGGTGGCGATTTGCCAAGCACCACCCGAGAAAGCTTCAGAGACCCAGGCTTGGAGGGGGATGCCTATCTGAGACGGTCCGCCCCTACCAAAGAATCTGATCAACGGTCCAAGAGGTGTCCATGGGTCGAACCAGAATTTAGTTGTCCTCCCATCACCCAATCGGACACTGAAAAAATCTGAAGCCCAGGGGCGGAGTTTCAGCAACTTTTTGAAGGTCCATGACTGGTTGGGCTTCACTGTAACTGACCAGAAAGTATTTTACTGATCAGTTTTAGTTTTCAATCAGTCTTTACAATAATAACATATTTAGAAGGAATATGAATCCATTCTCTAAATATGTTATTAGTTGTTTTGATCAATATTAGTTCTTAATGATTATTAAAGGATAAATTTTCAATATCTAATAAAAAAAAATTTTTAATAAACTCTTCGTAATTATATTTTATCGTACTTTACAATAGTTTTTTTTCTTCTGATTGTCTAATATAAATATTGTGGAGGGTGATTCTTCTATTGTTAATATTGGGCTGAGTCATAATAAATATTTACGTCTTGATTTTATTAGTGTTCATGATCTTTTTAAATCTATTATTGGTTTAAATAGGTCGTATATTTCTATAATTTTTTTGTTTATAAAATTAAGGATATGATGATTGTTAGTTAGTGAATAGTTAATTTGGTAAGATAGAGAAAATTGGTGATTTCTTTTTTCCATAACAACCCAGGATTCGTAGGAGGACGGGGAATGATCGTCGGTGCGAGAGGCATGGACAATGTGCGGCTCCTGACGAGCTTCTGGGTAGGAGGTACAAGGATGAATCAGACGCACCGGAATGAGGGGGATCCGAGGTGTGACATGTTGGTTTAGTGCTCTATGATGTACTGTTTATGAGCTTTCTTTAGATACATTCGATGTATTGATACTTTCTATGGTTTTATGAGAGTATTTGATTCATTACATGTTCTTGCATACTAGATCTGTTATGAAATCCATGTATCATTATAAATGATACTAAACTCCCTAGTCTTGTGTCATTATGGGAATGATGACATAATAAGACTAGTATGATGTGTGATTGATGATCATAGCGTTGATCATAGATATTGGATACGATCACAGTCATAGGTATTCGTTGGAGAACAGAATACTGGATTGACCCGCATGAGATTGTCACATGGACTAGCGTCATGACTTGAATCTCATATAGCGGTTCCATGATTGGATCCTAAGACCTGAGATATCTACGGAATCCAATATGAGGAGTTGCGTGCTTTGAATACGTCAAACGTCCTGCGTAACAGGAGGACTATAAAGGCGTGTATCAGGTACGAAACGAATCATGTACTGGATTGTAGATAGTCAAGACGGAATTTGTACCTCTCGTAAAAGAGAGAGATATCGCTGGGCCCCTCGTGTGAGCGAGACTGTAGAAATGTGTGGCCGCACTATAGACGAACGTCGTCTATTTCAGACAGT